TCCTGTTCGAGCCCTAGCCATTCTCCCCGTGCCCTGCTACGCGCCGTTGGCTTCGGGTTCGGCCCTAAACATTTTTTTATGCGCAAGATCAAAACTCCACATAACTGAATATATCTGTATTACCTTCCACTAAATAGTAACTCTGTGTGGGAAGAGAACCACTACAGTGGCCACTTATGGTGTGTTTGTTTTAGGTCATGGGGTGGAAAACGGGTCCATTACGTTTCTAGGCCTGACTCCTGTGTTCGGTAGCAGCGGAGAATTGGAACCTACCCATTCCCTCGAACGGAATATTCGCGTGAGATGCGGAACGTGCTCGTACCTCCGATTTGGAGGAATCACGCGGAACGCCTCACATCTCTTGCCTCCAATAATGCTAAACATACAAAGAGTTGCACGCAATTACATGCTGACTAGGATTTTTTTCATCTACTAACCAATCACAAACTTACCCCCCCTGATTTTCAAGGGGGGTGGGCCGCCTCCCCATCTATTGACCAATCAAATTAACTCTCTTTGTAAAACCTTGTAACTCGTTTGAGCATTACTCCTCTTGCCTCTCCCACGACTCCCTCGTCTCCGAACCCCATACCAGCGCCGCCACTCCCACTCGATCTGTGCCCCTTCTTCTCCCCTTCTCTGGCGCCGCTGTCGGTGTCAAAATCGGCAGATCTCGGGTAGGGGGTCCCGAACAGTGCGTCTAAGGCTAATGGTAACAGGAGGCTGGGGACACGATGTTTACCCAGGTTCGGGCCCTCTCGATGGAGGTAATACCCTACTTCCTGCTTGATTGATCTTGATGATATGAGTATTACAGGAGTTGATCTACCACGAGATCGTAGAGGCTAAACCCTAGAAGCTAGCCTATGATTATGATTGTTCTCCTCCTACGGACTAAACCCTCTGGTTTATATAGACACCGGAGGGGGCTAGGGTTACACAGAGTCGGTTACAGAGAAGGAGATCTAACATCCGAATCGCCAAGCTTGCCTTCCACGCAAAGGAGAGTCCCATCCAGACACGGGATGAAGTCTTCAATCTTGTATCTTCATAGTCCAACAGTCCGGCCAAAGTATATAGTCCGGCTGTCCGGATACCCCCTAATCCAGGACTCCCTCAGTAGCCCCTGAACCAGCCTTCAATGACGATGAGTCCGGTGCGCAGATTGTCTTCGACATTGCAATGCGGGTTCCATCTCCGAATACTCCGTAGAAGATTGTGAACACAAGGATCGTGTCCGGCTCTGCAAAATAATTTCCGCGCACCACCGTAGAGAGAATGATACTTTACAAATCTAATATGCTGACAATTTTTCACAGCATGTCCTCACGCCGCGGCCTGGTTTAATACAAACCGTTTTTCTCAGCCTGCCACAACACGCGCTATAAGGCGGTTTTATTGGCACGTCTTATCGAAGCAGAGATCGTGTCCCCCTTATTGCGGGGTTCTCATCAATACGGGCACGGGTAACCCAACTACGCCTGTTGGTATAACTTCGTGTTTTTAGGCAAGTCCCAAACGGTTACGCTGAGGACGCTTGATATTCTCCCCCTTTATAGAGGGACCGAGGCGTGTCCCTCTCTGTCCACGCTTGCGCCTTCCCGCACCTCGAGTTCCAACACCTGAAGCTCAAGCTTAAGCACTTCGGATCTTCAATCATGTCCGGATCCGACCTTCAAGGCCGGTGGATGGCCTCCTATGTCACAGAGGAGGACATTGCGAAGCTCAGGGAGGCCAGGTATCTGACCGCCGACATTAAGCACATGCTTCCTGCTCTAGGGCAGGTCATCCCCACTCCCGAACCCAATGAGAGCTTTGTATTTGTTTCGCACTTCCTCCGGGGCTTAGGCTTTAGTCTTGATCCCTTCGTGAGAGGGCTCATGTTCTATTACGGGATAGATTTTCACGATCTGGCTCCGTATTCCATCCTTCACATCTCGTCGTTCATCGTCATGTGCGAAGCTTTCCTCCACGTCACCCCACACTTCGGCTTATGGCTCAAGACTTTCAATGTAAAGCGAAGGTGATCGAGGGGCGACACGCGGAGTGCGGAGACGCTGCAATAAGCAGAAACGCCGATGCCCCATGGCCAGAGGGTTCCTTCCCGGAGATGTCAGATTTATGGCAACGGAGGTGGTTCTACATCATAGCTCCCCGAGGCACAAAGTGGGCGGCTGCCCCCGCCTTCCGCTCGGGCCCTCCGCCTCAACTGGCATCGTGGGCCAACGTGGGACTGGACTGGGGGCCTGCAAATGACGTACCGACATTGCAGAGCCCTATTCGGGAGCTTCTTGAGAGGGATATCAGCCTTGCCAGAATAATTAAGGTAATGCTAGTTCGGCGGGCCCTGCCGTGCAAACGTCGACCTCTCCGGATGCGGGAGTTCAACCTAGAAGGCCCCCAAACTATTCAACACTTCTTCGGCATGACGCTCGAAGGGATGTATAGGTTGTTCTTCGGACCACGAATAAAGTGTCCGGACACCACCGAGGATGCAGGCCTGAGCTGCAACCGCTCGGATACCCAAGTAAGTAACCCTGTAACCGAACACTTCGTTTGCATTTATCACAACATTATTCTAAAAAACTATCCGCGGCCAGGATTGGCTTAGCAAGGCGGAGAGAATCAGGTGTCTAGCCCCACTTCCCGAAGGCTCGCCTAGTCCGGCGATAGCCAGGATGCTTAAACGGGCGCTAAGTCAAGTGCCATCGGGGAAAGATGAAGGGAGGAGTGGAGAAGCCAAGAGCGAGCTCCACACATTGTACATCCAAACTGGGGGAATTAATGTCTCCATGAAGGAGGACAATCAGGGAGGTGAATCTAAAGTTTCCTCCCCCCGCGGGAAGAAAAGGGCCGCCTCCGAAGACTCGGAAAAGGAGGAGCCAAAACAAGGGAAGAAAGCTTCACCAAGGGGCCCTCCCCCGAAGGGCGTCCTCACCGCACCATGCACGCAAATGGGCCAGCCCTCCACCGAGCTATAAGTTAGTCGTAAATAAGAGATATTGCTTCCTCCTTCTCCAAGAATAAAAACCAGGATCTATCTTTTGCAGTCCGGCTAGTAGCTCTTCTCAACAGAGTTCGTCTTTGGGGGATCTTCTTCCGGCGATGATGGAGAGTGAAACCCCACCTGCCTCTCCGCCCCATGGGGCGGGCGACCCTGAGGTGTCGTCATGGAGGAGTCCAGATCCGCCGAGGCCGGAAGCTAATACTTCGGCCGCCCCGAGCCCGGTGTGCCCGGCTGCCATGAAGGGCAGTAAGAAGGGTCCGGGAGAGTCAGGCGTCCGGTCGGACACACTGACGGGCCTTCTGGAGCAAGCTGCTCTCTCGGAGGATCACCGTACGTTAATGGGTACGGTGTTTGAGAAGATTTCATCCGCCACAAGTGTGTTGAATGAAGCTTTTACGAGCCTGCTCAAAGGCTTTGAGGTACGCAACAAAACACGTACTTTTTCGGTTGTACCGCACACGCTAGGTGTGCTCTGTATAGATAGTAGCCCCCGAGACTCTGGTTGCCAGCCCTTAGGCGGCAAATGGAGGATCACACTCACAGTAATGATCGCACTGTATTTATGCGCAGGTGGCTAAGGGTCTGGCGGTAGACCGGACTGCTGAATTCGCCAAACTGCGGCGATAGATTGATGTGGTGGATGCCGACATCACGCTTGTAAACAAGCGTCTTGATGAGTCACAGAGTATGTGCTCTTTTTTCCTCATTTGTTTAGGAAACAGTAAGAGGAGCATGATATTAATATGATATGTTGTGGCTGCAGGTGGAGCTGCTGCCGTAGAGGCCCTGAGGGCGGAACTTGCATTAGCCAAAGA